TTGGTGTCCTGCCTCAGTTTGGTGTCCCCTCTGTGAAAGGGACCTGGATTGTCACATGCTGCCTGCTCAGAGCAGGAGCACGAGGATCTGTCAGTGCATTGGTTGCAGAGAGCTTTGCAGCTGTAAATGCCAAGGATTTATAAACAGGGAGGGGGGTGGTGGGGATGCTCACAATGAGCAGGAGCCTCCCAGTGAGCGTGGCTGTGTCAGGGAAGCTGCCAGTCCCCCTCTGCCACGGCTCCCAAGAGTGGGAGCAGCTCCAGGCTTGGAGGTCTGCCTGATCCCAGCACCATTCTGGGACTTTACCTCACAGTTTCTCACAGCTGTAGTGAAACACCACGGTGCTGCCTGGGCCAGGCCAGGCCCCTGGTGTGGGGGCTGTGTCCCTTGGGCTTTGGGCAGGGGGAGGATGCACCTGGGAAGGGCTCAGTTTCCCTTTCAGGATAATGGTGTCTCACCTAAAAAGTGACACTTCCCTGTCTGCAGTCCCCTGTGTCCTGAGCAGCCTTATTAAAATACTGATATTCCCTAGGAGGGGTTGTGGGAGCAAATTATTCGGTTTTATTTTACTTTCTTCCTCTTCAGGGTAGCAGATTTCCCTGGTGCAATAATTCCTTTAAAACCCAAAGGGGAAGAGCACTGGGCTTTCCCTCCCCATCACAGGGCTGGCCGGTCCCAAACCTCCCCCTTCTGCCACACTCCTCAGTTCGCCGTGCCTCAGTTTCCCTGCCCAGCCCTCCCCTCCCTACCTCGCAGGGGTGTTGGGAATTACCGTTCCTGAAGCACTTTGAAGCCCTCTGGGGGAAGGCACTGGAGACGTGCATGTGCTGGTCGGAGCCCGGGGATTTGTCCTTCCCAAAATCCCGGTGGTGTCCCCACCTCGGTGGCAATGCAGGACTCGTGCCCATCACCTGGGAAACTTTTTGCTCTTCCTTCCTCGACAGTATAACAACCCTCAAACTGAAATGTATATTTTTGCTAGAAGTACAAACTTCCAAGTGTTTTTAATAATATAAATAGTGTCCACAAACTGACTTGACTTTAAATAAATCTGAACTAAATATTTAAGAACCTTTTAGCGTCCCGCATGTCTTTGTGGGCTTCCTCTCAGCACCTGGGGGCAGCTGTCCGTGGGAGAATTTCCAGCAGAGGCCATGGGATTTGCTGTGGTTTCCAGGGATTTGCTGTGATTCAGGGGCTCTAATTCCCGGATCTCGTACCTGCTGCGCTTTTCTTGCCTGCAAACCTAAAGCAGCAGAAAGAGCCACTCCTGAGCAGGATCCCAGCCTCGGCTGGAGGCTTCCTGCCCCAGATATTGCGGGTGGAGCTGCAAATGAGCTGAAAACACCTCGAGCAGGGGAACAATGTGCTCCAGGACAGTCATGTGCTGGCGGCTGGGCTGTCCTTGGCTGCGGTAAAACACCTGAGAGTTTGCAAGGAGGAACTGGAGACCCCCCAGGATCCCCTGTGCCCGGTTTGAGTGCTCTGGGGGAAGCTGTTCCACTGCTCCCCGTCTCTCCCATGCACCTGGGGGCACATGGAGCCGTGATGCTGCTGGGCAGGGGTCCCAGGGGTCCCTGTGTGGTTACCCCAGCAGGCAGCATTACATTATCCATCCGTTCCCAGTGTGATGGGGGAGAGAGCTGAGAAAGAAGTGAAATCCACAGGCTGAGTTAAAGACAGGACTGAAAAGAAGGGGGAATAGTAATACTAATGGTAAAAGGATTAGAATACACAGAATTTAGTGCTGCAGGCTGGGGTGGTGGCCCCGTGCACGCTCCTCGCTGCAAAGTCCTTGAGTGAGTGTAAACAGCGCTCAGAGCCCGATGCTATCAGCCAGCCCGGGATTGTCCTCCGCCCCAAACACGTGTCCCAGCTACCGGGGGAAAATGATCCCAGCCGGACCTGGGACTCACTGAGGCCATAAATAGCCCTGGGAGGTGGCCCAGCCCTCTTCAGTGCTGGGGAAGAGATGGAGGTGGGCTCGATGATGGCATCTGGGCCGTTAAGGGCCGAGGCAAGCTCTCTGAGACCCCTGTGCAGGTAAGGGCTTGAGGATGGGGTGGCTGGGAGCAGCTTTTGGGGGAGACAGGCTGGAGATGGAACTCCTCGCTGTGGGGGTAGGGAGTGGATTGGGGTGGCCTTGAGCCATCTCCCCGTTTCCCTACCCCCCTCCGGAGCTGGGGGTGGGCGGCAGAACTCCCGTCTGGTCCCCCTTCCTGCCTGCCCTTCTCCCTGCCCCATCCCTCGCTATCTCTGCTCCCAGAGAGCCCCCAGCCCTGTCCTGGGCTTCCTCTGCTCGGCAGTTAGCAGGAGATTAGGCTGGATGGGGCTGGGAGGACCCCCTGGCTCTGCCCTTGGCGAGGGATCCCAGACACCAGCCGGGGGAGCTTCCAAAATATATCCCCACCCAAACAAAGCTGGTACCGGGGGGATGCTAGGGCAGGGCTGGAGCAGGGTCTGACCCCGTCCACGCTGCTCCCCTGGCTAACAGGAATTTTGCCCGTGGATCCTGTCGGTGGGGCCAGAGCTGCCGCTTCTCACACGACAGAGAATCAGCCCGGGTCTGCAGGTACTTCCAGCGTGGGTTTTGTCGTTATGGAGAGCAGTGCAGGTAAGGAAGGGCTGGGGTGCCACGAGGATGGGCTGGGAGCCTGGAGGAGCCATGCTGAACTGATGGGACCCTCTGTCTTTGTCCCTGGGCTCCTCCAGCTACCAGCACATCCTGGAGGAGCCAGCACCGGTAGGGACACAATATGGTCTGATGCCTCACTGCCACTGGGGCCAGGAGCCTGGCACTGAGCCCACAGCCATGGACCGGGACCAGGGAGGAGCCCAGTGCACCACAGCCTGCAGCAAGACATGTGTGGCCTTCAAGTTCCCCAAAGTGGAGGTAGAAGTGGAAGAGAAAGACAAGAAGAACATCCCAGCACTTGGTAACGTCCCCCGTGGGGCCATCAGTGGAGAATTTGTCCCCACAAAAGCTCGGGGTGCCTCAGGTAGGTGCCAGGCTGCCCAGGGGACCAGTGGGGTGGCACTGGGATGGTTATAGTGAAGGAGCCTCTGCATCTTTCTGCCTATGACCAAGCTGGGCTGTGGAGAGCTCTGCAGTGTGAGGACTGTCACTGCTGAAGCTGCACGCTCTGAGCAGCCCACCCAGCTTGCTGAGCTTTTCCCCTCTGTGAACTCTCCTCCTGCAGGCTTCCAGCCACGAGGGCCAGCACTGGATCCAGGCTCCTCTGACCCCAAAAAGGCAGTTTTGGAGATGGCAACACAGACTGACCCTGCAAAGGTGGGTTTGGGGTCTCCTGTGGCCGGGTACTCCCCGTCACCCTGTGGTGCTCCCCGAGCCCAGGTGACAGAGCCAGGGCGTTGCCATGCTGTGCTGCTCTGCTTGCAGGTCCTTGCAGAGCCAGGTGCTGAGGCAGCCCTGCTCACCAGCGCAGCGCTGAGAGCCCGGAGTGAGGCTGTGGTGTGTGGCATCTGCATGGACAGGGTGTACGAGAAGCCGCTGCCCGAGGAGCGGCTCTTCGGGATCCTCCCGAACTGCAGCCACGCGTACTGCGTGGGCTGCATCCGCAAGTGGCGGCGCAGCCGGGCCTTCCAGAGCGCCGTCATAAAGTGAGTGGCCATGGGGACGTGGCAGGCTGGTCATCGTTCCCCCTTCTGTGCCCTGAAATTCTTCCTTGGGTCTGGTGATGTGGCTTTGGGATTGGCGTGACTTTGCTTTGGGAGCAGGTGCTTTGGAGTGGTGAGGGGTGTGGGGGTGCTGGGTGAGGCCAGGGTGGGTGCTGAGCCTGTGCTCCCTGCTCCCTTCTTGGGACACCCAGCTGCACCCATCACCCTCATCCAGGGCCTGCCCAGAGTGCCGGATCCCCTCCAGTTACTACATCCCCCACAAATACTGGATCTCAGATGTGGCTGAGAAGGAGCAGCTCATCAGAGCCTTCAAGGCACGGACAGGGTGAGTGCGTGGCACTGCTGCGGTTGCCAGGGCTGCGGGCTCCGTCTGCTGCTCTGAGAGCTACACTCACAACTGTGCTTGGAATCCCACAGGAAAATCAGGTGCAAATTCTTCCTCCGTGGCCACTGCCCTTTCAGGTCAGAGTGCATCTACCTGCACGAGCTGCCTGCCAGCTGGCTGCGGCGGCACAGGCAGCGGCAGCTCAGGATGCCCACTGTAAGTGGGGTGGCACATCCCGGGGCTGGGCAGGGCTGGGCTCATCCTCCCTCCTGGGAGTGTGGCTCATCCTCCCTCCTCTGCTGCAGGTGTTCATCCCTTCTTCCTCGGAGAGCTCTGACGAGGAGGATGAGGAGCTCTGCACGCTGGAGTGGGCTCTTACCGTGGCCATGCTGGAGACAGAATTTCCCCACTCGAGTTATGGCCACCAGATGTTTCTCATTGACTTCAGCGATTCCGACTGAGCCGTGGGGACCACGCTGGGCCTGGGTGCTGCTGGTGGCCTGGACAGCAGTGTCTGTTTTGACTCCTGCCGTTGTTTTGGGGTGGCCCCAGCCGTGGGATGTTGCAGGGATGGGGTGGGATGGGGAAGCAGTCTGTCTGGCATTAGTGGGTGCACCGGGGGAGACTCAGGGCACAGCCCCCCCTGCTCTGGCCGTGGTGCCCACTCTGCACCCGTGGGACACCCACGGGCGGGGTGGGCTGGGTGCTGGGAAGCAGCAGGCGGGGTCTGACATCCACAAGGGGGACCGGGCAGCAGGGGTGCACTGTTTTAAACCCTTTTTAGCCAAATCCAGGAATAATAAAACGGGTTGTGTAACGCTACGCTTCCTGGAGCCTGTGATCTGTGTCTGGGTGACCCACCCTCGGCGGGGAGCGGGGAAGGAAGGCGGTGTTTGGGTTGGAATTTAAGGGATGTTTGCATCACCAGCTCGTTCGCGCGCGGTCCGTTTGCGTTTCCCGGGGGCGGGGCCGGAAGCGGCGCCTCGGGGACAGCGGGCGGAGCGCGGCGGGGACGCGGCGACAGCGGCCGGTGGGTGCGCGGTGACAGCCCCGAGTGTGCCCGGGCTGCCCCGGGGGCGGGTGGCAGTGCCCGGGGCACGGCAGGGACCGGGGCAGTCCCAGCAGCAGCGCTTCCCCCCGGGAGGGCAGCGGCGAGGGGCTGGGGGTGCGGGATGGCAGCGAAGGGGTGATGGAGGGCACGGGGGGACTCCCGGTGCTCCCGCATCCTCGGCTGCCACGCTGATGCCGGGGTCGGCGCCGAGCACCCCGGGCGGGCGGTGATGGTCCCGTGCCTCCCGAGTGGGACCCGTGTCCGGTTGGGACCCGTGTGCGGCTCTTCCCTTTGTGAGTCATCCGTGTCCGGTGTCCCCTGTGTATGTGACCGTGTCCAGCTGTATCCCTTGTCCGGCTGTTCCCCGTGTGTGTCACTGTGTCTGGTCTACCCATGTGTGTGCCCCGTGTCCCGCTGTCCCCTGTGTCCGGCTGTCCCCCATGTGTGTGACCGTGTCCAGCTGTGTCCCGTGTCTGGCTGTCCCCCATGTGTGTCACCGTGTCCGGCTGTCCCCCGTGTATGTGTCCCTTGTCTGGCTGTCCCCTGTGTGTGTGACCGTATCTGGTGTCCCCTGTGTGTCACTGTGTCTGGCTGTCCCCTGTGTGTGTGACCATGTCCAGTGTCCCCTGTGTGTGACCATGTCCAGCTGTCCCCCGTGTGTGTCACTGTGTCCAGCTGTCCCCCGTGTCTGGCTGTCCCCCATGTCCAGCTGTCCCCATGTGTGTGACCGTGTCCGGTGTCCCCGTGTCCCGCAGGGAGCAGTGCAGCCCCCGCCGCAGCGATGGAGCCCCGGTGCCCGCCCTGGCAGCAGCTGTGCCCGCGGCCGTGCCGCCTCCTGCTCCACGCCCTGAGCTCGGGCCCGGCCGGGGCCGTGGCCGCTCTGCGGGCGCTGCAGCGGGGCCAGCCCCAGCAGGGCCCGGGGCAGCCATTCCCCTGGCAGGCTCTCACCGCAGCCCTGTGCGCCCAGGAGCCCTCGCTGGAGGGGACAAAGGACACCCTGGCTGTGTGAGTTGGATACGTTTCTAAAACTCGGTGTTTTGGGTGTCAGGTGTGTCCCAATTTGGGAGAGCGCATCTGGTCGTAGCAGTGACCCACTGGTGTCCCAGCTTGTGTCTGCAAAAGCTGCTGAAGGCATCAGGTGCCTCCTCTTGCTCCCTGCTGCTGTGGGACTCTGCTCCACGGGGCAGGTTGGGTTCAGGACAGGGGGATTTGCTCTGACCAGTCACCTCTCCTTTTCCAGCAAGCCACGGCTGCTGCTGCTGCCCGTTTTGTGCCAGAGGAACCTCTTCTCCCTGCTCCTCGTGGTGCAGGATGCAGTGCCACGGGACTGCCTTCACCAGCTGCTCCAGGCCTTGGAGCAGGATTCCCATGTGGATCCCTGGGTGCAGACTCTGGGGGATCTGCTCCAGCAGAGACCAAGGGCAGAGGAGGGCTCTCCACGTCCCACTGCCCTGTCTGCTGTGTGCCAGCAGCAGCTCAGGGGCCTGTGCCAGAAAATTGCCCAGAAGAAACCAGAGGGACAAAGAAGATTGAACTGGTGCTTCAGCAAACAGCCTGGTGCCCCTGACTCTGTGCCTCAAGGTGGGAAGCGTAAGAAAGTGTCGGAGGAGAGCCTGGAGTCGGACAGTGAGAGAGAGGGGAAGAGGTTGCTGCTGCAGGAGGTGGCATTTGAGCCCCTGGGGCCCCAGGAATGTGGAGATGTGGCAGAGGTGGAAGAGGAGGTGCCTGAGGAGCCTTCAGGGGACACATCTGCTCAGAGCACAGATAAGGCTGCTCAGGACAGCCCCCAGCAGGATGGGGAGCTCAGGAAGATTTCCCAGACAGAGCTGGCAACAGAGGTCCAGTCCTTTGTCCAGGTACTGGGTAGGGTTTGCTGTCCCCTTCCAGCCAGTGAGCCTTTACAGCCTGATTCTCATTCCTTCATCTCATTTCCCTCAGGTGCACGGACAGGGGCTGAAAGTGCTGCTGCTGCAGGAGTCCAATGTAAGTGTTTGCTTCTGCCCCTGTCCTGGAGCTGATGCTCTAAACAGCCTCATGCCAGGGCCTCGGGAGGGGTGGAAAAGGAGGTGAATTTCACAGAGCCAGCTGGATGGGGATAAAAAGCCCTGTTGGTACCTCCTCTGGGTTTGGGATAGCAACACCTGCCTGCACCTTGCAGTGTGAGGGGCTGCCTGTGGGCTCAGTGATGGGGGGAAGGGAGAAGCCCTGGAGCTGTATTTTGTATTTTGGTTTATTTGGTGCATTACTCAGGACGGTGTTTCTCTCCAGCACTCCGAGCTGCACGTCCCCCCCAAGCTGAGCATCCTGAACAGCTGCACCCCCAGCCAGGTGAGCCCCAGCATGCTGCTGCAGCTGCTGCAGGGGGCCTGCTGCTGTCCCTAATGCCCTGTGCCACCCCAGCTCGAGGGGCTGTGCTCCTTCCTGCAGCTCTCCACGTGCCCAGAGCCCCTCCTGATGCGTTTCTGCAGCTGGCTGCTGGCTCTGAGCCCCGACCTCAGCCACAGCAGTGCAGCCATCCTGGCAGAGCAGCTCTTCCTCAGGCGAGTACGTGCCAGGGCAGCAGAGTTCCCTGCTCCCTGTTCCCCTCTCCACTGTCCCCACCTCCTGCCTTTTGTGTCCCCAGGTCCTGTCCCTCTCCCAGCCGCCTTCCCGACACCTCATGGCTGCCCTGACTGCGTTTTGCTCCAAGTATTCCCATCCCTTGTGCCGTGTGCTGGTGGCTGCGGCGCTGCAGGAGCCAGGGGAAGGTGTGCTGGGCTGGTGGGAGCTGGAGAGGGGCATTTGTCATGTGTTGGGAGCCATGGAGACCTCAGGCTGGTTTTTCAGGGCAGGCAAACACTTGGGCTTGGGATGGGAGATGGGTTTGCAGGTGCCTGAGGTGGAGGGGGAGGGCTGGCTAGGCTGGCTGCTGGCTTATTTTTGCCCAAAAGGGCTCCTGGCAGCTCCTAATGCTCAGGGCAGAGCTGCCCCAGCGTGGCTGTGCTGGGAGGAGAGGGTGAGCCCCTGCCACAGTGGCATCCCCTTTTCCCAGACTGTTTAAACCCTTGCTGCAGCTGGGCAAAGGAAGCAGGATTATCCTGAGCAGTAGAAGGGGGCACTGCGTGGTTTCTGCCTGTCCTGACTGGCACATACTCCTGTGAAGAGGTGCCAGGAAGGGCCAGGCACATCCCCATGGATTTGGCAGCCTCTGGAGGCTCTCCCCTGCTGCTTTGGCCCTGCAGGTGCTGAGCAGACCAAGCTGATGTGTGAGCTCGTGGAGGAGTGCCTGGAGCCCCACTCTGTGCAGCTGCTGCTGAGGTGAGGGCTTACAGCTCTGCTTTGGCCTCACCTGGGTGGGTGCAGCTGGCTCCAGCCATCTGGGGGCTCCAGCAGGGCCACCTTCCCTCCTCACTGTCCTTCCAGCCACGTCCTGGAGGTGCCTTTGTCAGAGAAACTCCTGCCAGTACTGCAGGCCGTGCTGGGCCGGCAGGTGAGGAGCCCACCTTGTCCCACGGGTGTCCTTGATGACTCCAGCAGTGCTGGAGCACTCTCCTACCTGCTCCTGGGCCTTTTCCAGGAGGTGCTGCCCGCTGAGCTCTTGGATCTGCTGGTCCTGACTCTGTGCCAGCAGGCTCCAGCCTTCTCCACGTCACTCAACTTCGCCAAGCTGGTGACAGCCGTGCTCACGGTGTACCAGAGCCAGGTGAGCCCGGCCAGGGCTGCTCCTGCAGCTCCTGGGGCCCAGCCCAGAGGTCCCAGGTGGGCTCCTGGCAGGGCAGGGCTCTGAGCTGGTGCTGCCTCCATCCCAGGTCAGCCCAGCTCACAGGAGCAGTCTGGCTGCTGTCCTGGACCGGAGCACGGCGGTGCTGAAGAAATCCCTGCAGGCTGTGCTGGGAGGGGCCAGGTGAGGTGGGACAGGGGGGTCTCTGTGCTGGAAGGGGCCAGGTGAGTGGGGACAGGGGGGTCCCTGTGCTGGAAGGGGCCAGGTGAGGTGGGACAGGGGGGGTCTCTGTGCTGGGAGGGGCCAGGTGAGTGGGGACAGGGGTCCCTGTGCTGGAAGGGGCCAGGTGAGATGGGACAGGGGTCCTGTCACGGCAGGCTCTGCACCCTGGGCTGTCCCAGGGTGGGGAAGCAGAAGGTGCCACTCCTGCCGTGGCAGAGCTGTGCATGGTGGATGTGGCAGTGGCTTTCCTCTTCCTGATTTTTGTCTTTCCTCAGGTGACCACCCGAAGGAATCGTGAGGGGGGAGCTGCCCGGCGTGGAGGACACTCCTTGCACAGCTGCACCCTCAGTGGATGAGGTGGGACCCTGTGAGGGGGGTCTGTTCCCCCCCAGGGCCTCCTGGCAGCACCTGGCATGAGGGGGCTCCTGCTGGCAGTGCCATCCCAGCCCCCCACGCTCCCTGGGGCTCGGAGGGGTCTTGGTTGAACAATTCATGTGTTTCCAGGTGGACAATTCATGTGTTTCCAGGTGAACAATTCATGTGTTTTCATGTGTTTCCAAATGGACAATTCATGTGTTTTCAGGTGAACAATTCATGTGTTTCCAGGTGGACAATTCATGTGTTTTCAGGTGAACAATTCATGTGTTTCCAGGTGGACAATTCATGTGTTTCCAGGTGTTTCTGTGTGTTTTCCCTCGGGCCTGCCACACTCTACGAGGTGACCTGGCCCTCCTGTGCTGGGGGCCAGGCAGGACACAGCCCATGGGGAACTTCCAGGTGCTCAGTTTTTACTGCCCAAAACCCTCACTGAACCAGGACAGACATTGATTTGAGGCTGCATGAAGATGATAATTCTGGATTTAGTTCACCATCTTGATTTGACCTCAGCTCATTCCAAGGCACGAGCTCCGTGCACGTCCACATTCCTGCTCCCAGTGGTGCAGGCTGGGCTGCTGCTTTGTGCATCTGATCTGCTGGGATTTACAGACCTCTGGGTGCAGGAGAGTGGGATTTAACTGAATGCCAGCTGAATTTAGCTGGGAAATTTGAGTGTTCTGCTTTAAATCCACCTTTCTTTCCTGTTTGCCTGGCCCGTGAGGGGCTGTGCTGTGTGTGACACATTTCTGGTGATGGTGGCAGTACTCGTGGCCCTCATAGTGCTTGTGTGGCATGACTGCTCAAAGTTCTGTCCTGTATTCTTGAAAGTACCCACTGGAAACCTCATCTAGGCACCTCCTGGTCTGAGAACTGGGAAGAAAAGGTTGGGACAGAGTGGAGACTCAGGCAGGCAGAGCTGGGGTTTCAGAGGAGGTTTTGAAGCATTGCATATTTCAGGAGCTATTTAAAAATCCATAAACATCTACAAAGGGAGAAGGAGAATTACAACATGCAGATGTGACTGCTCCAGGTTTGCTCAATTTAAATCCCATCCAGAGGAAGGAAACTCTGAAGCATTAGGTGACACTCTTAAGGCTGAGAGCCAGGTTTCTTTATGTAAGAATCTCTTAAGCTATTTTAGGTGACAGTGGACTGATGAGGCTTCAAAGTCCGCATTAGCTGGAGGATGGAAACCTCCAGGGGGCCAGATTGTTGATGTGTTTGCATTCCAGTGAGTTAGTGGCTGAGTAAAGTGAAGCTATTGTAGGGCTGCCCAAAATACGACATAAATAGAAATTGTGCCACGATCATCAAGGTCTGAGCCTGCTCTTCTGGCTTTATTAGGTAGCAGGCTCTGATCTTTGCAGCTTCCCTGCAGAGCTTCTACCGAGTGACCTCGGTGTCATTGTCCCCAGTGCTCTGCCTGGCTGCTGGTCACATGGAGATGGCCACTGCCTTGTGGCAAGAGCCTTCTTAGCCCTGGGTTTGCTCTTGGCTGCAGCTTATCGTGTGCTGTGGGTTCCTCTGAGGTGCTCATGCAGATAATTGTGGCAAGAGCCTTCTTAGCCCTGGGTTTGCTCTTGGCTGCAGCTTATCGTGTGCTCATGCAGATATCAATCATGGAAGGGAACTGGGAGCACACCTGGGGACACTGCTTGTTTATCTGGAGGTGGGCAGCACAGAAAAATTCACTTTTGACTCCTCTTGACCCTTTCAGGAACTTTAGAATCCATCCTGAGCAGCTCAGAGAGGTGAATGCAGCATAAACCATCAGTCAGATTTTACAGTTCAGCAGAACCTTGGCCAAGGGTGGCGGGAGTGCCAGGGCTGGCTCTGTCCTTGTCCTGGTTCAGAGCAGTGGTGGTGAAGTCTGAAGCTTTGTCTGAGACCTTTCCCAGGCTGCAGGCAGCAGGCAGTGTGTGATTTCCATCCAGTTAACTTGTGATCATTGGCAGTGCTTCCTCACCTGCTTCCTCTTCTGTTTGTAGAGTTTTACTTCACCTTACAGAGGGGAATTCCCTTTTTGGTCTCGTAGTTCTTGGGGTTTTTTTGAAGGAAATTCATCACATGCAGTTGCATGGGTTGTCTGTCCACTCTGCTGCCTCCACACCCTGCACAGGGATTTTTGAGCCAGTTTCATGGCAAGATGATTCCTGCCCTGCCCAGGTGCCCTGTGGGGCTGTGCTCAGGCAGCAGTGAACCTCTTTGGGGTGAGCAGGGCTGGGGGGTCCGTGGATGTTGAACACCAGACACCTGATGCAGGGACCTTGGGCCATGCAGCACCTGGTTGGAAAGGGCTGAAACTCAGTGGCTTTCCTGAAAATAGCCTGTTTACATCCCTCAAGGGCTGCCCCTCTCCAAACAGGAGCTCCAGGTTGTTGCTGTTTCCCCCCCTGCAGTGCCAGGGGTCCCCCCACTTCTCCCTGCGTGCCCAGTGGCAGCCTGCTAATCTCACCTGTAATCCCCAACGTGCTGGTGCAGTTCTGCCTGCAAACCTGGGGCCTGTGACACCCAAATGTGAGCCTGAACTGCTCTGGGGGAGGCTCAGCAATATTTATTTACTGAATAAAAAAGAAGAACAATTTTCCTTCTTGTCTGTTTGGTGGTTTTTTTTTTTTTTTGGGGGGGGGGGGGGGGGTTTTGCCAACCAACTTTTAATCATAAGACAAGAATTGTGTTCTCTCTGGGATAGCCTGGTGGCTGCCAGGTTCCTGTCAGCTAGGGAAGCCAGGGCCACAGAAAGGTGGATTTGAGGGAGGGCTGGGCTGCTGTTTTGTGCCTGAGCCCCTGCACAGCCCTGTAAATCAGCTTGCTGCATCAGTGGCAGCAGTCAGTGGCAGCCTGAGCAGCTTTCCTCCAAGAAGTGAATAATCCAGATGACCACCCTGTGATCTGAGCTGCGAGTTCAGCTCGAGCTTCGGGTGCCCTGGGAGGTGCTGCTGCCCCGAGGGACCTGCCTGGAAGGAGGACAGGGGACAGAGCTGCAGCCACATGCTGCCCCTGGGCTGGAGATCTCCCTGCAGGCTCTCCTTCCTCCCCGCTGAACAGGTCTGTGTGAGGGGAACGGGGCTGCTTTTCCTGCCTGGAGCCTCTGCCATGCCTAGCAGTCACGATTTAGCTGCTCCCAGCTTAAAAATAAGAATGCCTAAAAAATCCCCGCGTGCTTTATGAGGTGCTTTCAGAGGCTCTTTGAACTGGTGGTTTGTGAGCAGGGGCATTGCCTCCTGTGAGCCCTCCCTCGTGGACCTGCAGATTTGGGACAGAAGGAGGATTTTTTGGTGGCTGTGGGAGGGAACAGAGGCACCGGTGCCGTGTGTCCTTGGCTCTGTGTGCCCCACGGAGGTGCCAGCTGCTGTCCCTGGGGAGGAAGCTGGGGCTCTCTGCGAGGGGTCCCCACCTCCACTGCCCCTGTTTTGTAACCGGGGGCTGCACTCTGCGCTCTCACTCTGGCAGAGCCTGGGCAAAGCCTGCCCGGGCACTGGGAGATGCTGTTTGCCCTCTCAGGGCTGGAGGGGTCCGCAGCCCCCAAGGGGTCCCTGGGCTTGGGGGGCAGCAGCAGCTGCTCCGGGTAGGGCTGAAGGTGGAGCCCGAGCCGCTGTAAGCTCATTAGGGGAAGAAAGCGGCTTTGGAGATGCGATGGATCCGAGCAAAGGGCTTGGGGCACTGGGGGATGGCCGGGGGGAAGGTGGGGCTGCTGAGGGGGGCAGCAGGGACGGGGGTCCTGGGCAGAGCGGCTTCCCTGCATCGCCGAACACCGTGCTACAGGGGCTGCTCATCAGCTGTTCCGGTTGAGCCTGGTGCTGGGTTTAACCTGGGGCTGGGTTTAACCTGGTGCTGGATTTAACCTGCTGCTGGGTTTAACCTAGTGCTGGATTTAACCTGCTGCGGGGTTTAACCTGCTGCTGTGCCCAGAGGCTTCACCCTGGGCTGGGAGAGGGACTTTGTGGGCTTCCTGCATCTTTCTCTGATCATTTAAACATTGTAAAACAGCTTAAATGGCTTCTCCAAGCCCCCTTATATCTGGAAATCTTTTATATCTGTTTTATACCCCATGAAAGCTCGGGGGGACCCCCACGCTGCCCTGAGCCTCCTGCCCGGGGGTTGCTGAGGCTCAGCTCCGCCGACCCCGGGCACGGAGGGAGCAGTCCCGGTGTTTCCCGGCTGTGCCAGGGAGGCAGTCCCGGGGTTTCCGGCGGTGCCAGGGAAGCAGTCCCGGTGTTTCCCGGCTGTGCCAGGGAAGCAGTCCCGGTGTTTCCCGGCGGTGCCAGGGAAGCAGTCCCGGTGTTCCCGGCGGTGCCAGGGAAGCAGTCCCGGTCTTTCCCCGCTCTGCCCGTCCCCGGAGCGGGTGCAGGACCTGGCTCCTCACCAACAGCAGAGGTTTCCCGGCCACCTGCGGACCACTCCGCCCGCCCTGGCCGGCGCGGGGAGCTCCCGGGCTCTCTCACGCATCTCCTTTAAAGGGCTTCTCTCCTCGGGCTCGGCCCCGGCTGCTCCTTCTGCCGCAGATGCGGCTGCTGTGCCCGCGGAGGCAGCGGGGCCGCCGCAGCCCCGAGCCCCGAGCCCGGCCGGGCTGATGGGGACCCAGCAGAGCTGAGTGCCGGCTCCGAGCTGGGGGCCCGGATCTGCCTTCGGCTGCTCCGGAGGAGCTCAGGCAGGTAAAGATGTCCCGGGGAGCGTTTGGTCGTCGCTGAGTTGAGGGAAAGGCCGGTCTGACATCTCAGGGGGTTCCTTGTGCTAAAGCAGCTGCGGGTCTGGTATCTTTTCCATCTGTGGCACGAAGATAAGGAGCGAGTGTCTGTGAGGCTGTGGGAGCTGCGGGAAAGCAGCAGCCGGCAGGGGCTGTGATGGATTGAGCGCTTTGCAGCAGGGACCAGCCCTCCAGAGCGCTCTGATGCTGCTGCTGGGATGAGTTTGGCTGATCCCTGCTGGCTGGAGGCCCTGAGCCCCTGGGTGGAGGTTTCGGCGATAATTCCCACTGTACAGGTGTGAAACGGGCTGGCTTTGACAGGTGCCAAGTGCTGCTTTTTACACCTTCATCAGAGCTGAGCGGGCACTGGGAGCTGGGCGAAGCTGAGCTTGGCCAAGGCTTTGCACAGGCACGTGGGATTCAGGCAGTCCTTGCTCCCTGTCCCCCTAGATCTCTCCTGCATTTCCTGTCTTGGACAAAAAATTCCCCTTCCGTCCTAGATCTGCGTGTCCATGAGCACCGGGACAGCCCCTTGTGCACAGCGACTTCACCGTGGGCTGGGAGAGGGACTTTGTGGGCTTCCTGCATCCTTCTCTGATCCTCTAAACATCATAAAACAGCTTAAATGGCGCCTCCAAGCCCCCTTATATCTGGAAATCTTTTATATCTGTTTCTGGGAGCTCAGGGACTGTCGTGTCTGCAGCCTGGGGAGGAGGGGGTTGCTGCAAATCCACGTCCCTCCAAGAAGCTGACCCGCACCACAAACCCAAAATGAGGATTGCCCCGGGGGAAGGAAATGGGGGTGGCAAGCAGGAAAGTCCACCCTGTTAAATTTGCCATTTGCCTCGCTCCATGCCCGCCCAAATCCCTCCAGCCTCCTCCTGAATCCCAGCGGGCCTCCCCACCTCTTTTTCCCGCAGATGCCTCCACGCTAAAGCAGAGGAGCTCGAAGCTCCTGCTGGGTGAGAAAACGCTTTAAAAATATAACATTTAGAGGCGTTCTCCATCTGCGCGCTGCTAATGCGGGTCTCTCACCATAGGTGTGCTGCTCCTGGAGCCTCTGCACGGCCCAGATGAAGGCGCTGGATGGGAGCTCGCCGGGACAGGGCGAGGAGGAGGCGCCGGGACCGGCCCAGGGGCGCCGGCGGCGGCAGCGGCAGAGGGCGAGCTGCCGACCCAGCCCCTCACCTCGCAGGTATGTGCACAAAAAGCTCCCCCCCAGAGGTTCTTGGGGTGCCGGCAAGGATGGGACAGGGACGGCAGTGCCAGGCAAGAGGCACTGAGCATCGTTTTGGCGTGGTGGCAAAATTCTCCTGCAGCCACTGCTCTCAGGCTCGCCAGGAGGAGAGGGAGAAGCTCTGCTGCGGCTTCCAGGGGGAAAAGTTTGGGGGTTCAAACCCTCTCCCTGCTGGGTGCTGGGCTCTGCACAGCAGCCCCTGTGTCTCCAGGCACTGGTGACCTGTTATCAGCACCAGTGAGCAGGGATGCTGCAGAGCTGCCAGACCTCCTGGCGCCCAGGACTGGGTTTTGGGGTGATAAACCTGTCCCGGTGCACTTTTAGGGGGGCCTGCCATCCCCGTGGGGTGCTGTGCTGTGAGATGATGCCTGCCTGGGCTCTGGGTGTGCTGTGGTGCTGGAAGAGGCCGGCTCGCAGCGAGGTCCGCTTGGCAGCCAGAGCGAAAAAAAAAAAAAAAGGAAAAAAAAAAAAAAGAAGATAGTGCTGAGGCTGGTGACTCATTGCTGGCTGGAAACGGCTTCGCCGGGTCCTCTGTGGGGCTCTGCGGCGGCGGCAGGAGCGGAGGGGGCGGCTCGCAGAGCGGGACGGGGACGGAGCAGGCTGTGGAGGATGCTC